TCTTAGAGGCAAAGTCCTAAGGTAGGTTGGTGGACTATGGTCACATTATAAGGTTCGAAAATGAGTCTAAATAGAATCTAGTCTCACTTCTATTCTTATCTTAGAGGCAAAGTCCTAAGGTAGGTTGGTGGACTATGGTCACATAATAAAGTAAACAAGGAATTCTAAAACAAAATCAAAGTTTAACACATAAATGAGAATCACATAAATCCCATAAACTGAAAATATGAAACAAACGAACGTTAACAACTCCAGTATCCAGGAATTTATTGACAATATATTGATTAAACGTTGGGGATATATATATAGTGGGCTAATATTTGTGCAATATTATGCCAAAAATTGTGTTACTAGGGAAGTAGAAAAGAAGAAGGAATGAAAAAAGGAGGAAGAAATAGCACAAGTAAACATATTAATTAATATATTCCTATATAACATAAAACATACTCTCTAATATAAGTATTTGTTTTTAACAAGCATCATTTTTCTTATAGGTACATGATGTTTCTTAAAGACATTATCACTAGATGAAGCGAGATCGATATCATCTGTCGCGTCTGACATAACTTGTTTAATAGAAAACTTAGAAAATAATACATTCGATGATATATGAAATAAATGTTCTGCATTAATTTTCATTTGTATAGAGAGAAAGAATTTTTAAATCTTGAGATACTATTATTTTACTTTTTGCATGATATGCTGTTAAATTAAAATCATTAATCAGATGAATCTCTGTTATCTGTAATGAAAAACACAGACATAAAAACATATCTATTATTCATAAAATACATTTTAAATTCATTTTAGTAATTTGCACTTATGACTGAAAGAAGTATAAATGCAGTTACAAATATTCAAAATTATTTACAATTTTATACTACCGCGAAAACTCGCAAAAGATTAACAATTACAGACTAGTTTTTGTATAAATTGAAAGTGTTTCTTCCAGATGCAGCTTTATTCGATATCGATAGATATCGTTTAATGATGTTTCTTTTATCGTCAAAACCATTGGCGGCTTTGACGAAGAAAATTTAGAAAAAGAATGGTTTACATTGCATTTAGATTTTACTATAATAATATAGAAGAAAAGAATTTGTCAAAATTAAATTTTGATGAAATGTGGAAGCGGATTTTACAATGTCAAACTAACGTCTAATCGGTCAAGTATTTCAACTTTATCTGGTTTTTGAATAAAATCAGATCATTTCTAAATTCAAATGCTGATTTGGAAAGAATTTTTTCATTTTTACCAGATGTAAAAACACGAAATAAACATTCATCGACTTTTACAAATGCTATTTGCGTTAGGTCTGTCTTACAGACAAGACGAGAAAGCGTTAAATGAAAATTAATGCAGAACATTTATCTCGTACGTCATCGAATGTATTATTTTCTAAGTTTCCTATTAAACAAGTTATGTCAGACGCGACAGATGAAGATGATATCGGTCCCACTTCATCTAGTGATAATGTCTTTAAGAGATATCATGTATCTGTAAGAAAAATGATGCTTGTTAAAAATAAATATTTATATTAGAGAGTATGTTTTATGTTATATAAGAATATGTTAATTAATATGTTTACTTGTGACATTTCTTCCTCCTTTTTTCATTCCTTCTTCTTCCCTAGTAACACAATTTTTGACATAATATTGCACAAATATTAGCTATACTATATATAATATATATATATATATCCCCATCGTTTAATCAATATATTGTCAATAAATTCCTGGATACTGGAGTTGTTAACGTTCGTTCGTTTCATATTTTTATATACATATACAATACATTATATATATATATATAGTATTGTATAAATATTATACATATATAATATATAATATTTATTTATGTAATATGTGTATAAATGTATACATTATATGTGTGTGTAGTACTCAACGCGATAAAATAAAATGGAAACGCTCAGTATATCACGAGGCAAAAAGGGAATGATTCAAATCGGATATTGTGTCGATGCTCTTATATTGCGAGCCGAAGATAGCCGAATTGCCAGGCGCACACGTATGTGACTTATCTTTTGTGTATGTGTTGCTGGCTCTCATTTCACTAGTGCAGATAAACCTACAGGATAAACAAGGATACCTATTGTATAGGCGACATAAATGCACGATATAAACATAACCACTATGGACAAATTTTGTGAGAACATTCAGCGATATATTATTAAATCATGATACTAATTTACATTTGAGAAATAATATCATTAAATTACAATCTTTGACGCATATACAGCTATCTTCACTATTTTAAAATTTTTAAATATGCCTGGTTCAAGAGTGGACATATCGAAGAATGACCGTCCATTTCGAAACTCCAATAGATTTATGGTTCTCTGGAAAGAATGTTGAAGAAATTCTACGCTACTCCATATGTGATGCATCTGCTATAATACGATGTTCCTGGTGTCACAAATATTTTTGCAGCATTTTTTTAATGAATATTATAATTGCAAACATAATCATGTTAGTATTAATAACGAAATTTACAATTAGTTTTAAAACTTACAAAAAATTAATTTATTGTTGTTTATAATAAAAGATGTTCTTATATTATTGATTATTGAACATATATGGCATGCTCACTATTGATAAATATCATTGATTAATTAGATATCAAAGGAGCAACAGCAACTATTAAGTTAAATAATATTTTGATATTTTTAACTTCCATATATCAAATGTAAATTAATCAACTTTTGGAGTTAATTTTAATCTTAGACAACGTTCGTATTAACGTACGTACATAAATAGTAAACTGAATTTGAATCAAATTTAATTTCTTGAGTTATTAGGTGTTGGAATTAATTCGTAGCGTTTTACAAGTGATGGGAAGTACTTTCATTAATGTATTTTTTAATGCTCATGTGAAATAAATAACATTCTTTCATTAAAAAACGCTACGAATTAATTCCAACACCTAATAAATTATGTAACTTTATTGTTTTAGTTAAGTTAACGACATATCGAGCAGCAGTGGCTACCTATAGAAATGATTTTTGAGAAAAATAATTCAAATTGGATATAATCTGACATTATAAATTTAATTAATATAATAAACAGTTATTTTGATATCGTCGAAATGTCAAAATTTACAGATTTAAAATAAAAAATTTCATCATTTTATAACATTATAACATAAAAGATATTTTGTCATATAAAAGTTACAAAGAAGTAAATATTTATATAATAATAATAATAATAGATATGTCTTTTTAATAATAATAATAGAAACATATTTTTTAAATGACGTTTCTCAAACTATTCAAGAGTGAGAGGAATAATTCGCATAAAAAAATGAGAGTGGAATAGGTCTACTGGGAAAACCACTATAAAAAAAGCGCTTTCTTTGCTCTTTTTATAGTGATTTCCCCTAATAGATCTTTTCCATGCTATCTACGTCATGATAGATAATATGAAAATCGTGGCATTTTATCATTCTCTTATAATAGAAATCTATTTACAATTAGTTTTACAATTACCTTTATCTATCATCAACAATATTGTAAAAAATAATTATTTTTTAGAAAAGTTCTGAAAGTCGTTGCCAACAAACGGTTTGATGAGTAAAATCAGTCCTCATGTGTAAAGTGATGTTTAGCTTTCTCCGCTATATCTCAAAAATTATTCAAAATATACAAGATATAATATATAATCAGATAAGATAAGATAAGATAAGATAATAAAAAAATGTTTTATACAAAAGTTTTACAATAAAATTGCTTCTATTTATTTATGTCAATGATACTTTTTAGAATATTTATTTTAAAGTTTTTTTTAATTTTGAAAAATAATTATTTTTAAAAAATATTATGAATGCTAGTGAATACAACTAATTTTGTTGTAAAATTTTTGTATAAAATATTTTTAGATATCTCGAATGGTTTTCGAGATACAATAGAAAAAGCTGAAAACCATTACATAAAGAGTGATTTCATCCTTTCAAATCGTTTTTTTTGATCAACTATTATTTTCTAAATTCATCTATTTATGTAAGCTATAAATACAGAAAGTTTCATTAAAATCAGAATTTGACACCTCGCAAGGGTTCCATATTAGTCTATAATTTCGCTCATGTATATTATCCCATCTTTCCATAATTCTAATTAAGTAAAATACGAATAACCTCTACATAATTGCCTATGTTAAGATTACATTTCCTTTTCTACTAAAGGATTCCGCACAAATCTTATGAAAAATTTAATTTCGCAATCGAATTGCCTGAAAATTTGATGTATTGTAAATCTTGTCGTTCTAATAAAGTCTCCACGGGCACGACTTCCTGAACCGTTTGACCTCTATGAGGCGTCATTTTTTAAAATGGGCTAATACTACAATATTTTATTTTCAACGAATGTGGTGCATTTCTACGTTATTATTTATTCTTTCTGTGTATAGTTTTAAGTAATAATATTGACTTAATTCTCACAAAAAAGCTATAAAGATATTGAAGTCGATAACTTGATTTTTGAGATTTAAGTCAACGCTGTGTTGCTTCACGTCTAGGGCGCGGAAATTTTTGACACGATTATGGGGCGCGCACGAAGAACCACTGCGCGCTTTGTTTACACTGAGTAAACCGTGCGCTAGTCGAAATATTGCTATCTCATTTCAATGAGCATCCGGTTTGTACAGCGAATTTTTGTGCCCGTGATCGTGCTTGAACTCCTGCGACCTATTATATAATTTCTTTCAAAACTATTCTTTAAATCAATTGTTTTCACAACTACTTTTACAAATAATTCTTTTTAGAGCTACTTTTCACAATAGTTGTTTTCATAACTACTCATACTATTAATTCTTATCAA